AAAATTGTTGACATCCCCATACTTCAAGAGCCACAGTCCAAATGCATTCACCATAAATTATAGGACATTAACCCATTTTTTTCATTGTCATTAGAAGTGACTGAAATTTTCCACAGCTTCACTAGTTAAATTAGCAAAGAAAAATGGAAGTAGGATCTAAAGTAGGTTATTTACTAAAGAACTCCTACCCCCTCATTTTATCATTGTTGCTAGTTATATCATAATGGTAACACTAATCATAAACGTATTTAAAGCTTCTACATGCCAGCCATGGAGCTTTAAATATAAAAACATTTAATTTAATCCCCAAACATGAAGGCAGGGACCACACTTTGTGCACATCTATATCCTGGGGAACAGCATAGATGCAAGAAAATGAATGATAAATATTTGTTAAAAGAATCACTATGGGCCGGGTGTGGTGGCTCACGCCTGTAACCCTAGCACTTTGGGAGGCCAAGGTGGGCAGATCATCTGATGTCAGGAGTTCGAGACCAGCCTGGCCAACATGGCAAAACCCCGTCTCTACTAAAAAAACAAAAAAATTAGCCAGGCATGGTGGCAGGCGCCTTGTAATCCCAGCTACTCGGGAGGCTGAGGAAGGAGAATCACTTGAACCTGGGAGGTGGAGGTTGCAGTGAGCCAAGATCACGCCACTACACTCCAGCCTGGGTGACAAAGCAAGACTCTGTCTCTAAAATCATAACAATAACAACAATATAATAAACATAATACAAGAATCACTATGGGCTAGGTAGGGTGACTCACACATATAATCCCAGCACTTTGGGAGGCTGAGGTGGGAGGATTGCTTGAAGCCAGGAGTTCAAGACCAGCCTGGGAGACAAAGTGAGACCCTGTCTCCAAAGAAAAATTTTTTTAATTAGCCAGGGTTAGTGGCACACGCCTGTAGCCCCAACTACTTGGGAAGCTGAAGTAGGAGGATCATTTGAGCATAGGAGTTCAAGGCTGCAGTGAGCTGTGATCACACCAATACACTCCAGCCTGGGTGACAGAGCAAGACCTATCTCTTAAAAGAAAAAAAAATATGCAAACAAATGGGAGGAGGGGATAATGCATGTAGTGTTCAAAGCAGTCATCTTTAGGCAACTCAGTTTTTAAGAACTATAAATTGAACACCAGACCCTGATAAATTTCACAGTAAATATATAGAATAATAAATAACACAATAGAGCTGAGAGCAACAACAGATCTGAGAGCAACCTCCAAGGAGACCTCATTTTATATTTACTGGTTGAGTGACCTTTGACAAATAATTTAACCTCTTCCTGAACCCTACGTTTTATTAACAGTATGAGGGGAATAACTTTCTTGCAAGTTGTAGAAAATGATAAGCTCCTGATACTACGCTTGGCTCCCACTAAATGGTTGATGTTATTCTGTTACCATTTTGCGAGTAAAGAAATTTAAAAGTAGTATTTTTGTTTTAGGAATTTAAAAAAAAAATCAAGACTATTTTAATACTTCACATTCTGTGGGAAATGTGACCAAAAAATCAGTATACTGGGGCAAACTGGGCTTCGTATGATGATAAAAGGCTACTTCAAAAGATAAACACAGTAGACATAAAACAAAATGAAACAAAAGTCATAGGTAGATGGGTAGCTTTAAACATTATCGATAAAGGGTATGACTATAGAACATAAGAAAGAGTTCAAATTAACTTTAAAAGTACACGGGAATTTTAGAGAAAACTGTTAGAATAAGAATTATAATCACTGAATTTTGATATATACATCACCAAGTTATAAAGCCCACAAGACACTCTGTGGCATCAGTCAGGTCAGCTGAATGACACAATACGCGCTGCCCCTTTTCTCTGCTTTATTTTTCCCCTTAACACTAATCACCACCTCACGTCCTATTTTCCCTCTTTGTTTCTTACATCACTCCTGACTAGAACATAAACTCTACGAGGGCAGAGATTTCCATCTGTTTTGCTCATCGCTGAATCACCAGTTCTGAGTGCCTGAGACACAGATGGTCCTCAATGCTTAGGCAGAAATTGAGGCCCAAAGAAACTAAGTGCCTTGTATATAGCTGGTTCAACCAGTTAAGTTGTGCCAGCACTTCTAAACTCTCATCTAGGGCTCTTTTCAATTCTCTAAGCTGTCTCTTTCTTTGAAACCTTCATCTGCCTTTCCTTTTTTTAATGAGACAGAATCACTTTGCAGCCCAGGCTGGAGTGCAGTGGTGCAATCTCAGTTCACTGCAACCTCCCATATTCTGGGCTCAGGCAATCCTCTGGAACTACAGGCACGTGCCACCGTGCCTGACCAATTTTTTATTTTTATTTTTTTGTAGAGAGGAGGTCTCACTATGTTGCCCAGGCCAGTTTCAGACTACTGAGCCCAATCTGCCCACCTTAGCCTCCCATACTGCTGGGATTACAGATGTGAGCCACCGCACCAGGCCATCTGCCCTTTATTACCAACTGTGAGAGGGATGGAGCTGTACATCTGAACTGTATGATAATCTACAACCATTCTTTAAGGGTTTCTAGCACATTTTATCTAGCATGCTTCTAGAACTCCCATCACACAGGGGAAATCGTTTTTTTTTTTTCCCAAAATTCCACAATCTCTCCAAGACCCTATATAAGAAAAATTGCTAGCTCATGAACAGCTAAACATATGCCATTGGCCTGAATCTGACTTTTAAAGTACTTTAAAGATAGGCTAGACTATAAGCAGCCTAGTTTCAAATCAGTTGAATTCTTAATGGTGTAATTTCCTATTTAAAAGTAAGCACTGGGCTGAGTCAGCTCCCTGGTGAAGGAACTGAGTGTGAACAAACAGAAGTCAACATTTAGGTTACCCCTAAATAGAAGAATAAGAAGAGAAGTAATAAAGGGAGCCACAAGAAGACAATGTAATGATAATCAGACTCTTGGGGCTTTTTCCTATGGAAATATATTTTGGAATCTGTAACTTTTTACTAAACAACTATTAACCAAGTGTGAGACAAGAATACAGACATTTTCAGATATGCAAGGGATCAAACAATTTAACTACCACATACCCAGACTAGGATGATTTCTTGAGACTCCTGGAAAAACTAAGAGAGCAAGCCAAGAAAGGAAAATACAGGATACAGGAAACAGTGGGTCCAATTTAAGAGAGCAACAAAGTGAATGTCTTTGGCTGACAGTATCTAGCAAACCTAGATAGCAATCAACTTAGATTGGGGCAGAGGATGGAGGGTCTTAGAGGGAAGTCTCTCAAGGAAAAGTACATTTGACAGAAAAAAATAATATGGTCGAGTTTGAAATAAAATGAGGCCACCATAAAGCTAAGGCACAAGAACAAAGGAAAGGTTATTAGAAACCCTAAGGGAACAAAAATTGCATGTAAGAAAGAAAATAGAATCATAGATTAATTGACCCCATGTGAATATTTATTTATTAGTAATATATATTTTTAGAAGTTAAGAGTTATCCAAGACACAAAACAAATACTTAATTATGGTTATAACTTAATACAATATAAAAGCTCTAAGTCTTATAAAAGTAAAAACTTCAGAGTTTGTGAGGGAGGAGAGGAAAGGATAGCTGAAGGTGGATTACAGAGGCTGACACTATCATCTTACGAAGTGGGGAAGTGGGGAGTCAAAAGAGACTGCAGTTGATGAAGGAAGAAATAAAGGTGTAGTAACATTACATGTAAAAGATACCTGTAGACCTAATCCCCTGATTCCAGATGTGGGCCAATATACAATAGATACATTAATATAACTATCTAGAAGATGAAGAAAAATGATGCCAAATATAGACAAATCAAGAAAATAGATGAGTTAAAAGTGGTTATATATGAAGATCAGGATTGGAGATGAGGGGAAGTAGGATAGAAGATAGCTTCTTGTTATATACTTTTTGTAATATTTAATTCTCTGTAACCAGTGGTATTACTTTAATGGAAATAAATTCAAATAAAAGGAGAGAATAGGTTCATGACTCAGTCAAGTCCCAAATTCTCTTGCGTAGAAACTCCTCTTTCTTATTAAAAAATTCCAAGTCCTTGTTGTCTTGTAACTACAAGTGTACTTTCTGCAATTACTAATGAAGTGGGGAATTTGTAAATGTTACCCTATTTCTTACAAAGATACAACTACAGATTACAAACTCAATTTCTTAAACCTAAAAGGAAATGAGGTACGGTGAAAGTAAGAAAATACAGATTTATTTTTTGGAACTGTAAACTCAAAATTAATGAGTTATATTGCCTTAGCTGCTTATAGGTTCTTCCTGTGCTGATGACAATTCAGAAGCGAACAAAAAGAAAATTACCAAGTTAATATCCCTTGCCTTCTCTCAACCTCAAGATTTTTGGCAGCTAGAATTTCACATTGTTAGGCAGAAAGGTTTAACACAAGCATCTGGGATTCATTCATGTCAGCTATTGCTCTTTAAAAAAGAATATTTTTTATTTAGAATATTAACCTTCCTTTAAAGACTATTTCAAGAGAAATAAATGTCCCTTCCTTCCTATTCCCTGCCAACACGCCATTTCAAAGTTTCAGCCTGCCCTAGGAAATTGAAAAGGAACTCCCTTCCTACATCCTAAATGTCTCTTCATTCCATAAGCAAAAGCTTCAGGACAATCCCCAGGGTGAACATCATCTCCTGGATCCTCAAAACTACTTCCAGATGTGAGCCCCCAAGGTAGATGAGCAGATCCAGGTTTCTAACCCCTTTCCAGATGACAGCCTCTAGAAAGATGAGTGTGGCAGAGACCCAGTCCCCTGATTCCAGACGTGGGCCAAAGAGCACATGAATAAATTGAAACACCTCTCCCTACCACATGGAATTCCCTAAGGGATAAAGCCTTCTGATGCCTCTCCTGCTACACTCCACATTAAGTCTCCAGAGACCGAAGTCTCCACAGAACGAAGTGTTATTGTTCTGTCTCTTACCTCTTTTTTCTCTCTTCCTGTTTTCCATCTTCAAAACCAAACAACAACAACAAAACACTGTTCCTCACCTGGGTCAAGGTGCGTAACTCTGGGCACACTTTAGGGATTAGGTTATTCTGAAGGACTAGAGTCTTCAGGCCGGGCAGTTTTCCTAATGCTGAGGGCATCTTTGTCATCTTCTTCCCATTCAAAGTAATGATCTTCGTGTTTTTACCACCACTCAATGCTTTTATTAACAATCTCTCAGTCATGATCTTGGAAAAGAAGTAGAAAACAAAGAAGGTAACCATTAGAGATTAGAGTTCTTTATTAGACAGCTTTAGAACCTCTAATTACAGAATTGGTGTGTCATAGAAGCAAGAACATTCTGAGATCCACCATGTTGAAGGCGGGAAGCATTAGATTATTTTCCCATGTGAAAGATATGAAGGGAAAGTACCTAGTCCAGGTTTGGGGCAGGAAATGTATCAGGTAAGCCTAAGATAGCTTATACCGCAATGTTGAAGTTATTAGAGATTAATGAAGACACAGAAGTGAATTTCTAGGAGCTCCCACTAGTCTAAGATGGAAAATATTAAGGATCAGAAAAAAATAATCTACAGTAGACTGAGACATATCAAAATACATTAAAATCTGAGTTCATATGGCATTTTTTAAAAAGAAACATTACTCACACTGGGAATTACTAGTACACCAACTCAGTCTGAAAATTGATAAAGGAAAAAATGTAAGCATGTATTCTGCTCTTCCAGTACAAACTGTACTTAAATATATCTTAATAGTTAATAAAGTTCTTTTTCATAAGAATCAAAACTAATAAATGAGAAAGAAAAAATAACTTTAGAATAATCACAATTTTTGCAAATTCTAATAAAATAATGGAGCTATGCAAAAATCATAATTGGAGACTAAAAGTATTCGATGAAAGGTTGATGAGGAACTTTATAATCAAGTGATCAGGTTAATAACCCACTAATCAATTTTAGCTTCAATAAAATTGAGACAATAACATTATAAGCCTTATGAGGTAATGAATTAAAAAGTACACAGCAGCACCACCTATGAAATGTTCCTGCCCAAAAATTAAATCTGAATCTAATCATGGCTTCAAGATCTAACTATGATTTACAAAAAAAGAGAACCAAAGAATAAGTTAAGTTCATTATAGGGAAACACTCAGTCAAATCTATAACATGGAAGATTCTACAGGACTGGTCCCTGGTCCCATGTCACAAGGTTTCACCAACAAATGAAAGGCATTAATAAAAAGGAGGGAAAACTGTTATGAGGTAAGTGAAACTTAGGGCAAATAACAGCTAAATGCAATGTCTGGACTGTATTTGAATCTTCAATTGAATACAAACATCTCAGGGAAATTTGTTCATGGGCTATTAGACGAGAGAGATTAATTCTGTTACGTGTGAAAATGGTAAGGTGGTAGTATTTATTTTAAATGTGCTTAACATTCAGAAATGCATACTGAAATTTTCAAGTGAAATAAAATGATATCTTGAGTTTTCTTTAAAATAATCTAGGGGAAAAGTGGGTGGAAGAAACCGATCAAACAAGATTGACAAAATGTTGATAATTATTAATGCTGAGTAATAGACACATAGGGGGTTGTATTAGTCCATTCTCGCACTGCTATAAAGAAATACCTGAGACTAGGTAATTTATAAAGAAAAGAGGTTTAATTGGCTCGCAGTTCTGCAGGCTATACAGGAAGCATGGTGCTGGCATCTGCTCAGCTTCTGGGGAGCCCTAAGGAAACCTACAATAATGGTGGAAGGCAAAGGGGGAGCCAACACTTCACATGGCCAGAGCCAGAGGAAGACAGAGAGGAAGGAGGTGCTAACACTTAAACAACCAGATCTCAGGATAACTCACTCACTCACTATCAGCAGAACAGCACTGAGGGGATGCTAATCCATTCATGAGAACTCCACCCCCAGGATCCAATCACCTCCCACCAGGCCCCATCTCCAACACTGGGGATTATAATTGAACATGAGATTTTGGAAGGGACACAAATCCAAACCATATCAACATTCATTATATTAGTCTTATTATTTTTGCATATGTTTAAAAATTTCCAAATAAAACATTAAAACGGGAACAAAAAGGAGAGGGAGGGGAGCTGTGGCCAGTAACATTTTATTATTATCACAACCCCATCAGCACCCAGATAGGATGCATCTTAGAGGCATTAGGATTACACATGTATGTGACACACTTAGATGTGGATTTCCAAAAACCTAAACATTATAAAATACATTCTGCACTGAAAGTGATCTGAACAGAAATCAATCCTTCCTTTGGCATTCAGAAATCACTTTATTTATTTATTCAACAAATATTTACTGAGCACCTACTACATAGTCAACACTGTTGCAGGAGTGAATGAAAAAGATAAAAATTTCTGTTCTCAAGGAAATTCCATTCTAGTAGGGGAAGAAAAACAATCAGATAAGTAAATCTACTATGTTAGATAGTGATTTCATGCCAAGGGAAAAAAACTAAGCAGAAAAGAGAAACAGGGAGTGTGGGAAATGAGAAGTTTACAATTTTAAACAGGATGACCAGGAAAGGCCTCACTGAGAGAATGCTATCAGAGACAAGACCTCTTCCAGTAAGAGAGTAAAAGCAAGTGCCAGAATTCTAAAAAAGGATCATTAAATTTTTAAAGGGATTATAATGAATATCAATATCATAACAGTAAATCAAGAGGTGCTAATAGTGACTTTCATTTGCTAGAATGACAGATAAAATAATTTTTCAGCTTCTTAATCACTGCTGTTTGCCTTCCCTCTTCCAAACCTATGCTTCGTCTTCATTACTTTGATATTATTTGTTTCCTAAGAATAATAAAGCTGTTACTATCAAAACAAACTGATCACAAGGCTTTGTTTAAAAAAAAAAATCCATGACAATCATCACCTCTTAAGTAACTACTGGGTGGCTAGCATCCCAGCTGACATTGTCCAAACCCTGGAAATTTGTTACTGCTTTAAGTGGGTAAACAAATCAATACAATCTGACACTGCTTTCTGTTAATCTGCTGAACGTAGAAAACCTGGTTAACATTCTTGAGTGTTTCTTCTCCCTTACTTCCAATATATAATCAATCCTATTCATACTGCCTGTTCCAGTTATCTATCACTGGGAAACAAACCACCACACATCTTAATGGCCTAAAATATTTATTTTATTGACAAATCTGTTTTTTTGTTTGTTTGTTTTTTGGTTTTTTTTTTTGAGACGGAGTCTCACTCTGTCACCCAGGCTGGAATGCAGTGGTACGATCTCAGTTCACTGCAAGCTCTGCCTCCCGGGTTCACGCCATTCTCCTGCCTCAGTCTCCCAAGTACCTGGGACTATAGGTGCCCACCACCACGCCCAGCTAATTTTTTGTATTTTTACTAGAGATGGGGTTTCACTGTTCTAGCCAGGATGGCTTCGATCTCCTGACCTCGTGATCCGCCTGCCTTGGCCTCCCAAAGTGCTGGGATTACAGGCGTGAGCCACCATGCCCGGCCTTTATTGACAAATCTTAATCTGGGCAGGGCTTGCCTATAGTTCTTAGTGACAGCTATAGCAGCTCAAAGTCTGGGGCAGAAACCATCTAAAGGTTCACTAACCCACATCTGGTGGTAGACACTTCTTGTTGGCTAGGGCCTTAGGGTGATCAGCCTCTACATGCAGCCTCTCCAATGTGGCTTGGACTTCCTCCCAACATGGTGGCTTGGTTTGAAGGGTAAGCATCCCAAGAGAGAAAGTGGAGTGGAAGCTGTATTACTTTCATGACCTTACTTCAGAAGTCATACAGAATCACCTCTACCACATTTTATTCATTAGAACCAAGTCACAGAAACAAGCTCATATTCAAAGGAAGACAAATTAGACTCTGCCTCTTGAAAGCAAGTAACTAAAAATTTGTGGACATGTTTTAAAACCCACCACAATCCACACTGTAGCCATGAGCTGTTTACATTCCTCCCATGTGCAAAACACAGACACTCTTCCTGAAAAAACCCCCTTCCCCAAAAGTTTCATCTATTTAGAACATCAGGTCCAAAGATTTTGTCATCTAAGTTAGGTATGAAGGTGGATGAAGCTCCTCTGAGGCAGTTCCTTGAGTTCAGCTTGAGTGCAGTTCATCTTGACCTGAAGACCTATCAACTAAAGAGACAAGTTATCTGTCCACATGTACCTAGAATACAACATAGGTAAAACAAACGGCAGGCAATAGTTAGTCCCATTCAAAAAAAAAAGGAAAAAACAGAGGAACAAAGTAGCCACTGGTTTATAGCAATTCTGAAATCAAATGAGGCACAAGGTTGTCATTTTTTGTTTGTTTTTTGCTTTTGAGATGGAGTCTTGCTCTTTCACCCAGGCTGGAGTGCAGTGGCACGATCTCAGCTCACTGCAACCTCCGCCTCCTGGGTTCAAGCAATTCTCCTGCCTCAGCCTCCCGAGTAGCTGAGATTACAGGTACATGCTGCCATGCCTGGCTAATTTTTGTATTTTTAGTAGAGACAAGCTTTCACCATGTTGGCCAGGCTGGTCTTGAACTCCTGACCTCAAGTGATCCACCTGCCTCAGCCTCCCAAAGTGCTGGGATTACAGGAGTGAGCGACTGCACCCCGCCCACATGTACTGCCTGGGATTAGCTTTTGGTTCCCCTATTTGGGGTCCTGATTCCATCCTCTGAATTTCTTTCCTTTTCCATAAAATGTAGCCCATGTTTGCCAAATATTTTCCTCAGTCTGTTTCCTGTCCTTAGAAGTTCAAGGGCCTCTCTTCATTTTAATTCCTTTTTGATAACAGCTTTATTGAGATAAAATTCACATACCATTAATTCAACCATTTAAAGTATACAAGTTGATGGTTCCTTAGGATATTTACCAACTTGTGTAACTACCACCATAATCCACTTTCGAATATTTTCATCATCTCCAAAAGAAAGCCTGAAGCCTTTAAGAATCACTTTCCATTCCTCCCATTTACCCCAACCCTAGGCAACCATAAATCTACTTTTTATCTGTATAGATTTGCCTATTCTGGGGATTGTATATAGATGAAATTATGTAACATGTGGACTTTTGTGACTGGCTTACTTTACTTAGCATGTTTTCATGGCTGAGATGCTTTGGATCTGTGTCCCCACCCAAATCTCATATCAAACTGTAATCCCCAGTGTTGGAGGTGGGACCTGTTGAGAGGTGATTGGATCATGGGGGCAGATTTCCCTCTTGGTACTGTTCTCATATTAGTGAGTTACTGTGAGAT